AGGCGGAACATGCAACCAAGCGCCATATGCGGCTTGACGGAAGGCAATCTGGAGCAGTACCATAGTGCCCTCGCCCAAGCCGCCAACGAAGCCGCTCTCAACGGCCGCTTCGAGCGAAGCAGGAGCGTCAGCGAAAATTCCAGCAGTGATGGCAGCATACCGCAGTCCGCTGCTGAGTCGCGCCCAGACCTAACAGCGGACGACAGTCGTATTAGCATAACTGTTGACTCTCTGGCCTTCGACGACTTTGATTACAACGACGATGACTACCTTGACGAAGACGCAGCCATTATCGCTGCGGCCAACGCCGAGGCCCTCGAGAATGACGACGAGGGTTTCTACGGGCAGGAATTCGGCTTTTATCCTCAGGCTGTTGGGGATTGTGACGAGGAGATGGTTCTTGGGGGGTATTTTGGCACAAGGGGCGTCGATGGGGTTACGAGGAGTCATAGTGGGCGGGTGAATTTTCAGGAACCGAGTCTTACGCCTATTACAGAGCGGAGTGAGTGGAGTACGCGTAACTCTATCGTTTCTTTAACGGCGCACCCTGGTGTGATGGCTGGCGCTGCTGCGTCATTGGCGAGTCCGCAGCCGCTGACGCCTTTGGCGCATCTTGATATGGGAAGTATTGATGATGAGATGAATGCGCTTCTGAAATTGAGGAGGGGTGCGTGGGGGGGCAGTAATGGGAGTTTAAGGAGCAGTGCAGCGAGTCAGGCGCATACTACCGGTGGTTCTCCGGTTATGTCTAGTGCGTGTTTGGCTGCAGCGTCAGCGTCAAGTCGAGGAAGTCTTGTCAATTTTCATGATGTGTTGAGTGAGCAGAGACGGTCTAGCGGGAATGGGAACGGGAATGGGACTTCCTTGCCGGCTGGGTCGCCGGTTGGGGTGGAAAGCAGCAGCAGCAGCAACAGCAGCAACAGCGGTAGCAGCAACAACAACATGCAACATTTCTATTCGCTTTCTCAGTGTCATTCCCATCCCCATCGTGCTCAACAACAACAACAACCGCAACCGCAGCATCAAAATTACTACCAAGTTAGTGGAGATATATCGCCAGCGACCAGCTATAACAACAACAACAACAACAACACACCCCCGCAACCTGAAAACGGAAAACTCCTTGCCCAAACGGAGCACTCCGACCAACACTGCCATCCAAAACCTCAACCACATCCACAACCATATCAGCATCCGCATCCGCATCCGCATCCGCCTCCGTCCCATCTCCATCTCCATCGCCATTCCCAACCCAAAACCTCACTAAATATCGACACCGCCAGAGCCAACATCTCTTCCACCACGTCCGCCCTCTTCTCTCCATCCTCCGCCAAATCCCACAGCCACAACACTAACAAACCTCATCACAGACGCTCCAGCAGCGCTGGCGAGAGCATCAGCTATGTCAAACAGACTGATGAAGCGGGCGGGGATCAATGGGTGCTTGAGAGATGGCGCACTGGCGAGAGTGGGGAGCACGAGGTTGTGGAGAGGGAGGTTATGAATTGGGGGATGATATGATATGATATTGTATCTTCATCCTCGAGATTCCAGGAGGGCGCTATTTTACGATCTTGCTAATATTTTAATATCTATACATAAGGGGTACATTGCTTTAATTTTACTTGCACGATATATGCGATGATGTTTACGATATTCTTTTGACTGGATGACTTTGCCCAGTGTTTGGTTTGATGTTCTCTTCTATTTGAAAGTTTTTTTTTTTTTTTTTTTTTTTTTAAATTTTTTTTTGACTATCTATTTTCTCTCTATATATATTACATCTGTTATCTAAACAAAAAAAGGTCAGCTCCTTTTTTAACCTCTTGCGTTTTGGTTTTCCCTACACTCATTCCCTTTTACCTTCTCTTCATCCCCATCACCATAATATCAGGCATATTTTCCTTATCTTTTTTAATTTATTTGAATTTATTCACCTATGTACACGTAACACACGCACTTGTATCCATCTACGCAGCTATGCGTCCATAATTTATTGATTTACATGATACCCACGCATCCATGAGCCGCACAATGAGACGGATACGGGAAGTGGAGGCAGCCATTCACACTGCATGTATACATCCATCTACCTCCCTGTTGATTTTGCTTTTGGGAGGAGGAAGAGGAAGAGGAAATAATTTGGAGAGTTGGCATTGACCTTAGTACATGCATTGGCTGTATTCTATTTGTAATTTTGCTTTGTACATATGAGGTCATTATATAAAAACTCTACATAACTAGTTATCTACCTAAGGTGTTCACCTATTTACCTCCTCTAATCTCGCATGTTACGGTCAAGTGGGATGCGGAGGATGCCCGAGATGGCTTTGTGTTAACCCCCCCCCCCCTCTTCCCCCTTCCCCCCTTTATCCCATGTCATCCCCTACCTAGGTGTCTCCCCTATGTGGTATCTCCTATGTTGCCCCATGTTTCGGGTATCAACACCGTTGCCCTTGGCCCAACCTCTCCCCAAGATCCCTTCTCCTTTTCTCTATGTGACATCCATCCTTCATGACTCCACCCCTCGCTTTGTTACGTACCTAGATACGGTAATTGTCAAACCAAGGGTCAGGTGGATGGAGCGAGGTTTTCTTTCTTAGGTTCTATTTTCTTTTCGTCCCCCCGCATGGAATTATTTTCAGCTGGGCGGTTTCAGGCAGTGACTGACACTGTTTCATCTGCAGGCAACTAACCTCTGTCAGGCTGCTGGAGGTGGCACTGTGCAGCTGATGGGATATTTGGGATTTTCTGGGAGATTTCAGCCACTTTTTCTTCGCCCGCGGGTTGTTGGTCTGTCTGTCATGGCTTCCAAGGACGGGGTACATGCAACCGGTGCCCCCCTTTCAGAGGAAGATTTACCTTCCCTCTTCTTATTTCCGAGGATACGGATACTTTCTGTGTCAATATCTCTCTGACAGTCTTTTTATCAGAGATATCTAGTAATGGTAACTAACGATGGTTCAACTACCAAAGTACTACTGTAGACCTTTATAGACATTAAATATAATACTCATACACTTCTCTTAACTTTTTTTTATTTCATTTCATCTCCTCTCTTGAGAATCTTTCTCGTTAATTTTCCTGTTCTTGTTATCATATTATTAGTTGAATTTAGTTAAATTTAGTTCCCTTTAAATCATACTTTCCTTGTTCTCCTTTTTCCATTATTAGCTCTTAGTTGATTAACTTTATCTGTGATGTCACCCGGATTTATGAATGTTTGTTCCAGAAGGCTCTTTTTGTCTCTCTCTCTCTCTCTCTCTCTCTCTCTCTCTCTCTCTCTCTCTTTCTCCCAACGACTATCACACTGCTGTTTAGTTTGCTTAAATCCTATTTCTCATTAGAATTACTTACACGCAGCGTATTTATTCAACCGTGTATTTTACAACAATGCGTCGTCATTCCAAGGTTTGTCTACCCCTTTCGATTCATGAAAATATTCATCCGGAATCCTACAATGAGAAAACCTAGCCGCTGTTCAATCCGGGTACAACACCTTATGGGCTGTTTTGATTGGCTGGCCCGCTGCCAGCCAGTTTCCACGGGCACCAGGCCTTGCATAATACAGTCACATACAACCAGCCAACAACTCATTAACCGATGGCAGCAATGGCTTGCTGCAGCATCTCTGCTTCCAAGATTTGCGCAGAGTGGAACAGGTTTGGTAGCAAGCCTTGGTCAAGAAGATAGTTACCCCCTTACGGAGAGGTTGAGTGGTTACGTAGATGCGGTGTTTGGACAAGCCGCTTGCTTGTTTGACGCAGCCAACAGCTGACTCAAACCTTGGGTGCCTGGAGCTCCACGTGACCACTCCAGGTTCCCGCCACAACCGGAGATCAACAGGCGGTACTTTTCCCCCAAAGGACGGCAGGTACGGAGTCGGAAAGGTAGTTAGTTTAACGGTTGGTTCCTTCCTTATCTTCCTTCCTTTCCTTTCCTTTCCTTTTCTTTCTTCTTCTTACTTAAATTAAACCTTCCTCCTTCCACTTGACTTTTTAACTCACTTCCAACGTCTCTCATCTCAGCTAACGCCCCCCCCCCCCCCCCCCCCCCTTTTCCTGCGAATAGAATATATACATCCACTTCTTCGGAGCTTCTCATCTCAACAATCCGACGAAGCTCTCTCTATCCCCGCTCGTTTGCCCTCCCTAGCAATCAACGCCTGGAGAGAAGAATCACTCTTCTTTGATGAAACGCGAGTCTCCATAGGTGGAACGACAGTACTAGTCGACAGATCCCGCCTTGATAGTTGCTATTTCAACCTCCTCATTCAGTCTTACATCGGTTTCAGCGGACGGACTTGGTTGAATTTTCGTCGTGTGTGTGGTGGACTCGGATTTGAACGAAGAGGTTTTGTTTTGATTAAAAATCATAGATTCGATGCAACAGGAACGGATCGGAAGGACCCACTGGAAAAAACCAGACGGAAGCACCAGAAAGGAAAATATATGAAAAAATTGAAAGAACCACAAAATATATATATATATATATATATATATATATATATATAGAGAGAGAGAGAGAGAGATAGAGAGACAAGGAGCACAGAAGGGCAGAATTAAGCAGGGATTAGAGTGGAAGAAAAAGAGACCATTTGATTGGAATTTTTTTTTTTTTGTTTCTTGTTGAGTACATCTACCCTTTTTTTTTAAAAAAAAAAAACCTTCACATCCAACCATACACCTTTTGTTTACCAACCCCTCCTTTTGCTTCTGTTCTTGTTTTCCCCCTTCTTTAAGTTGGGCCATTAATCCTATGCCCCATCTTCTCTTTTTTAACAAAACCAAAAATAAATTCTTACTCATGGAAAATCTCTTTTTCATCTCTCTAATTTTAAACAGACACTGTTTTTTTCACTTGCAGAGACTGAAATAAACACATCTTTTCCCCAACTTTGGTGAAGAGACCTTCAGAATACAACCATCGACATCCCGCTTTTAGTGCGTGCGAAACGAAGAAAGGCAAACCCGGAAACAAAACAGAGATCCCAAAAAATCATGTTGCGAACTTCCACAGTGAAGGCGTCTTCGACCACCGCCGTCTTTCTCCGCCGCTCTCCATATGCCTGCAACAACATCCGGTCGTTTTCTGCCGTCGCGACGTCGAAACACTCCAATGCCCTGTCAAGGAGTAGCTCGAGGTTGAATCTGACCTCGAGGAGACCGTTGGCGGTTGTTGGATGCCAGCAGACGAGCAAGCGGAACCAAAAGAGACGTTATGCTGTTGCGGCTGAGGGGACAACTAAGGGTGTGGTATGTATTTTATTTTCTATTTTGTGATATGTGCGAATGGTGTGCATAGCTGCTGCAAATCATGAGAATATGCATCACGGTCTTTTATCACGGACTCACATATTTTGGCTGTGTAGGATCCCAGTGATTCTTTCCTCCAAGGGAACACGGCAAACTACATTGATGAGATGTATATAGCTTGGAAAAAGGAACCCTCAAGTGTACACGTCTCATGGCAAACCTACTTCCGCAACATGGAAGACGGCAATATGCCCATTTCCCAGGCTTTCCAACCACCCCCCACTCTCGTTCCAACCCCCACCGGCGGCGTTCCTCAACACATGCCCGACGCTGGAGCTACAAATGCAGCTGGCACTGAAGTCTCGAACCACTTGAAAGTCCAGTTGCTGGTGCGCGCATACCAGGCCCGCGGACACCACAAAGCCAAGATTGACCCTCTGGGAATTCGTGGCGAGGCTGAGGCTTTCGGGTATAACAAACCCAGGGAACTGCAGCTGAGCCATTATGGTTTCACCGAGGCCGATCTAGATGAGGAATTCGCTCTTGGACCAGGCATTCTGCCACGTTTCGAGACTGAGACGCGGAAAAAGATGACTCTGAGAGAAATTATTGCTGCTTGTGAGAAGGTTTACTGCGGGTCCTATGGTATCGAGTATATCCATATCCCGGACCGCGTGCCTTGCGACTGGATCCGCGACCGTGTCGAGATCCCCCAACCTTACAAATACTCAGTTGACGAAAAACGTCGCATTCTCGACCGTCTGATTTGGAGTTCTAGTTTTGAAGCTTTCTTGGCCACTAAGTTTCCCAACGATAAGCGGTTCGGTCTGGAAGGTTGCGAAACGCTGGTTCCTGGAATGAAAGCCTTGATTGACCGCAGCGTTGACTATGGCGTCAAGGATATCGTCATCGGTATGCCGCATCGTGGCCGTCTTAATGTGCTCAGTAACGTTGTTCGGAAACCAAACGAATCAATCTTCAGCGAGTTCAGCGGTACTGTAGAACCTTCTGATGAAGGATCTGGAGATGTCAAGTACCATCTTGGCATGAACTTTGAGCGCCCAACCCCTTCAGGAAAGCGTGTGCAGCTCTCACTTGTCGCTAACCCGTCGCATCTGGAAGCTGAGGACCCTGTTGTTCTTGGGAAGACTCGAGCCATTCAGCACTATAATAATGACGAGAAGGAATTCAACACCGCTATGGGCGTGTTGCTGCACGGTGATGCCGCATTTGCTGCTCAGGGTGTTGTTTATGAGACCATGGGCTTCCACTCGCTACCCGCTTACTCCACGGGAGGTACGATTCATATCATCGTGAACAACCAGATCGGTTTCACCACTGATCCCCGCTTTGCTCGCTCCACTCCTTACTGTTCCGATATCGCCAAGGCAATCGATGCGCCAGTCTTCCACGTCAATGGCGATGATGTTGAAGCGCTCAACTACGTCTGCCAGATGGCTGCTGACTGGCGTGCTACTTTCAAGCGTGATGTTGTCATCGATATTGTCTGCTACCGGAAACAGGGCCACAATGAAACCGACCAACCCGCCTTCACCCAACCGTTAATGTACAAGCGCATCGCAGAGCAGACCAACCAACTGGACAAATACGTAGACAAGCTGATCAAGGAAAAGACCTTCACCCATGAGGACATCGAGGAGCACAAAAAGTGGGTCTGGGGCATGCTCAACGATAGCTTTGACCGCAGCAAGGACTACCAACCCTCGAGCAAGGAGTGGCTCACCTCCGCCTGGAACGGATTCAAATCCCCCAAGGAGCTCGCCACGGAGGTCCTGCCGCACCCACCCACCGGCGTTCCCGCAGACACCCTGAAGAAAATCGGTGATGTCCTTGGCAATGTCCCCGAGAACTTCACTGTGCATCGCAACTTAAAGCGGATCCTTGCGAATCGGAAGAAGACTGTGGAGGAAGGTGAGAATATTGATTGGTCGACCGCTGAGGCGCTTGCGTTTGGCACTCTGTGCGCGGAGGGGCATCATGTTCGTGTCTCTGGGCAGGATGTGGAGCGTGGTACATTCTCACAGCGCCATGCTGTCTTGCACGACCAGGAGAATGAGACTACGTACACGTCATTGCAACATATTAGTCCTGACCAGGGGAAGTTTGTCATTTCGAATTCTTCGCTTAGCGAGTTTGGCGCGTAAGTTATACACTCTTCTCTATCCCTGTTCTTACATAATATAACTTGTGCTGACATGCTTTGCCAGCCTGGGCTTCGAATACGGCTACTCTCTAACCTCCCCCGACGCCTTCGTGATGTGGGAAGCTCAATTCGGCGACTTCGCCAACAACGCGCAGTGCATCATCGACCAATTCATCGCATCTGGTGAAACGAAGTGGCTCCAACGGTCTGGCCTTGTCATGTCGCTACCACACGGTTATGATGGACAGGGTCCCGAACATTCTTCTGCAAGAATAGAACGTTATCTTCAGCTGTGCAACGAGGATCCGCGGGTTTTCCCACCTCCCGATCGGATCGACCGACAGCACCAGGACTGCAATATGCAGATTGCCTATATGACTACGCCGTCCAATTTGTTCCATGTCATGCGCAGACAGATGAATCGGCAGTTCCGAAAACGTGAGTCCAGTCCCTCCATCTCTCTATTTACTTTCTTTCTTGCAGTACGTAAATCCAAGCTAACCGCAACCGCAACCGCAACCGCAACCGTAACCTCCAGCCCTCATAATCTTCTTCTCCAAATCCCTCCTCCGCCACCCCCTTTGCCGCTCCCCCCTCTCCTCCTTCATCGGCGACTCGCACTTCCAATGGATAATCCCAGACCCAGAACACGCAACCGGCGCCATAAACTCTCCAAAATCCATCGAGCGCGTAATCCTCTGCTCAGGCCAAGTGTATGCAGCCCTCCACAAGCACCGCGCCGCCAACGAGAGCCTCAAGAATACCGCCATAACCCGCATCGAGCAGATGCACCCGTTCCCCTGGCAGATGCTCAAGGAGAATCTGGACGGGTATCCCAATGCGAAAAATATTGTGTGGTGCCAGGAGGAGCCGCTGAATGCGGGGGCGTGGAGTTATATGCAGCCGAGGATTGAGACGTTGTTGAATGAGACGAAGCATCATAATCGGAGACATGTGTTGTATGCGGGTAGGAATCCGAGTGCGAGTGTTGCGACGGGGAATAAGGGGAGTCATCTTAAGGAGGAGGAGGAGTTGTTGACGGATGCGTTTGAGGTAAGGCAGGAGAGGTTGAAGGGGGAGTAGATTGGCGGGGTGTTTATCTTTGACATTTTTTTCATGTTGTTGAGTGAGATGCATGGATGAACGCGTTTGGTAGTTTGCTTTTTCGTGTGGATATATTGAGATTTCTGATTTCTCTTTTTCTCTTGTTTGTGATTTTAATTTGCATTGTATATTTATTTAAGTTGTTTTTTTTTTCTTTCTCTTACGGTCGGACATTAGCATAGTTAACGTTTCCTTTTTTATCATCTATCTTGTTCTAGAGTTCATTAATGCTGGCTGGCTTCCGCACGGAATGGACAGTATCCTATGACAGCATCAACAACATCGTTGATTTGTTGACGGACGCAAGAAATCCCTTGCTGAGGGCAGAGGGCCTGCCATTCCTTGCTATGTATGCTGTGGCTTGCTTTACTTTACTTTGCATGTCTTGTTGTTTAGGGATATTGCTTATATATTATATTTTTAGGTCCATTTTCAAAATCTCTTCTCTTCTTCCCTTCTTCTGTTATGTATTCTGGATGGGTTCGGCAAGGATGTTGTCAAACAACGCAAACATCCCAATACCAACGCTGTTGCCAAGTGCAAGATTTGACTATTCCAAATATGCTTAGCCTGTAATTCGCGCTCCAATATTCATGGAAAGTGCTTCCCAGGCCGCGCTAAACTTTTTCGGGCTCGCTCCTTCCCAAATGGATGCATGTGGCTTTGTTCTGCAATCCACGACTTCAACTTCAAACTTCAACTTCATTTCAACTTCACTTCAACTTCACTTTCAACTTCATTTCTCCCTTCTGACACTAATGCTCCCCCTTTGTCATTCCCTTTTATTCCCGCAAAAACTGACAGACACTCACTCACTCCGCTGCTCTGTATCCTGACTGCTCCACAGCCCAGCTTATCTCCCGCTGCTGGGCGCGGAGGAACAGAGAACCCACCAATCCCTTTACCTCGAATCCCTTTCCATTTTAGATACACCCCGTAAATACACAACACAGTCGCATATTATGGCTACCGCCCCTCTCCATTCCGGCGCTGTCCACACCACCGCTATCACCAGTACCAGCAACCCAACAGTCCGCCAATCCGCCCGCCAAACCCGCACAAACCCCAGCCGCACCTCCAAAACCGCTAGCCGCTCCACATTGGCCGGTCTGGGTTTCCACGGCAGCAGCGGATACGGTTTTGGCTCAGGTATTGGTAGTGCTGGTGCTGGTGGTGGTCCGGATTCAGCTAGCGCTCACAATGTTCCCCACGGCCTCTACCCGGCCATCACTCATTTTACCGACGCCATAACAGCGCTGCCCAAGGAGTTCCGACGGCATGCGTCATTGCTGAAGGAGGTGGATGGGAAGGCGTGGGCGCTTGAAGAAACTCTGGCGAAACAGCTTGATGCGGCTACGGCGTCGACGCCGTATGCGAAGTTAATGCAAACGGGTGTTCCGGTAAGTACTGGCCTTTTATGGTTGGATTCAAGACTTTGCACCTGTGTGCGGGACGGAGGCATCATGAGTACTGGTAACATGTAATGACCATTTTTGTTGCTTGGTTGTAGGCGAAGGAACCGATCAACTATGACTCTCCCGAGTCTCTTGCGCGCAGGAAGATTTTCTTCGAACTTCGCTCAACTCTCTCCGATCTTATGATCACCACCGACGAAAAGAACCATGTCCTCTGGAATGCAAATAACGAACTTGAGAAGCAGATTACGCGTATCGAAACGACCTTCCCCTACGTTGAGGGTGAAATTAGTGAAGAGGCGCGGTTGGGTAGTATTACCCACTGGGCCTACTCGAACAAAACTGCCGCCAAAGCTGCGGGAAATACATCTGAGCGTCCCCGACGCGAAACTGCTTCTACCCGTGATCAGAATCTCACGGTTGACGGTGAGACTAGAAGAGAAGGCGTCTCTCGGAAGCATCGCCGCAATCAACCCGATGCAGATGGCGAGGATGGACGGGTTCCTTTGCGAAAGGGTACAAGTGGGAAAGGCAGGGGTGGGGAAACACCGGCCAGTGGAAATACCCCCATTGGCGTGGTTGGTGCGGTTGCCGGCTCCTCTGCGGCCCCTGCAAAACGGAGAAGAGTCGAAAAGCCTCCACTCACCTCCACGGCAATAGCTTCGGCAATGGAGCGATCGGTTAGCGCGACAACAAATATAGGCACTGGGCGAGGTGTTCCGAAGGATGTTTCTGCTGCCGATGTTGTGAAGAAGAGGATACGAGCACCTAATGCTAATCCTTCTGCGAGGAAAAGGTATGTTATGAATCCCGTTTTCAAAATGGGCCGTTGGAACAACGGCTGTTTTGGGGCTCTGGATCCCAATTCGATCCTAATATGATGGAACAGAGCGAACACAGCAGCGTCTACAACCTCTCTACCTGCCCTTGTCCCTTCATCCGGTGTCACATCCGTCTCTGGTACAAAGGCCTCCAGTCCTGCTCCTAACACAATCTCCCGTACCGCATCCTCCAGAGCACAGCAAGGCGCTACCCAGGCGACCAATGGCCGTCAGAGACCTTCATCCTCCACATCGAACCGGGCATCCAATTCAAGTACGTTACCTGGACCTGTACCTGGATCCACCACCCACCTGGAGGTCTCTAACCGGGTTATTCCACTCGCAGAAAAACCTACATCTTCGGATCCCAAACTCCTCTCTTCTGCCCACAGAGAGCTTGCTAGTGCGAAACCTGACCACCCTCCTTCCTCCACTACAACTGGATTTAATGATGATAATAGAGTTGGTCTTTCTACTTCTACTACCTCAAGGCCGATGGAACCAGTCCCAAAGAGAGAAGAAGCCGGCCCCAACGATATTACCAACAACAATAACTCGACCAAACTAGATATAGCCGCTGCCACTGAAGGCCCATCCGCTTCACAACAGCCAAAAAGCCGTTCCTCCAAAAACTCTACCCCAGTCGTCTCCACCTTTGCCGAATCAGCCCAACAACTACCGCTACAACGAACCACGAGGCCCCGCGGTGGCACGTCAACAACGACAACAACCACAGATGGAGTACCAGGCACCACCACCAGCTCCAGCTCCACTACGACTAAACGGCCACATAAAAAGGGCGCTGGACTCACAGCCGCTGCGCAGCAACTTACCGCTGCTGCAGCGGCGACAGAAGATGAGGATTCCTCGAGACAAGGCGACGATGAGGAGGATGAGACAGAACCGAGGTATTGCTATTGTAACCAGGTTAGTTTTGGGGAGATGGTTGCGTGTGATAATGAGACGTGTCCGAGGGAGTGGTTTCACTTGTCGTGTGTGGGGTTGTCAAGGGCGCCGTTGAAGAGTTGTGAGTTGCTTTCCCCTTGTTTCTTTTCTCTCTTTATTCCCTTTCTGGATTGTTGCTAATTGATGTTGTTTTGCCCCGTGGTTAGCCAAGTGGTATTGTAACGAGTGTAAGGATAGTAGTCAGCGGAAAGGGAAATCGGGGAATGGAAAGTAAAGACTGGATGGCCCGTCTTGATCTCTCCGTTATTTTCTCAGGAGGGAGCTTATTAACTGCAAGATATCTTGAATTGGTTGGTATGTTTCTATCTATTACTCTATTCATATACCCTGCAACTATATAGTGCAATTTAGCAGCACGACGCACGCGAATTTTGACTACCCTTTCCCTGTATTTTTAACACTCTCTTTACCTATTTACACCTTTACCATCTCACGAATGTCATGACAGTGTTGGTATTCTACGGGGGGGTTTGGACGGAGTTGGGCTAGAGGGACTTATTTTGGTACCTGCTTTTGATTTTGGTTTTTACTCCATCTCGTTGGGTATTTTGTGCCTCCGTCTTGGGACACTGCTGGCCTCCATTTTGGATAATGTATTTTATTATAAAAGACTACTTTCTTGGTAGCTGTTACATCGATAGATGTGTTCTATTTAGGCTTGCATTCGCTGGTCTTGTAGTTTTGTTCTATGTAGTCCATTTTCCCAGCTCTGGTACATGGTCGATGATTGATGTGCGATTGAAGTTTAATGTAAATGAGCCAATGCAGGAGATATGAAATGAGTCTATTTGTTCTCAAGAAAATCCATATGCGTATAAAAGTATCTAGACCAAAGACATGTATGTATGTTACTGCTAAGATCACAAAAGTAGCTGTGGAAATAAAAGGCAAAATGCATCATCATCATCATCATCATCTATATGTGACTATGCCGTTACATCTCCTATCTCCCCAGAAATGCGAGCAAACAAAAACAACAAGCAAAAAAAGCAGGAACTAAAAGCTCCCCGTAAATCGATCTAATATCTGTCCCGCCAACGGCCTCCGCTGCTGGTGCTCCTGCTGCCTCCCATCTCCGCCCTCGCCACCTCTACCACTACCACGTATAGTCCCGCTCGCTCCCGCTCCCGCTCCTGCCGCCGCAGCCCTCGACTCCCCTTCCAGCCTCCTCCTCAACCCCTCAAACCCCTCCGCATCCCCTCCACTCCGCCCCGTCACCCTCCGCAGTCCACTCCACGGCCTCCACGTAACACCAGCACCGGCACCGGTCCCAGCAGCGCCACCGCCTCCGCGTCCCCGTGCTGAAGCCGCCGACAGATCACCATATGCCGAGCCTGGGACTCTCCATGCAGCGGCGCGGCCGGGTAATATCTCTGAGCGCCATGCGTAGCCGACGACCCAACCGGTGGCGGCGGCGAGGAGAGTGTGTGGGAATTGGGAGAGGGCGAGCTGCGAGGCGAGGAGGTAGGTTGTTGATTTGTCGCTGAGGGTTACTGTTGGGGTTGTTGTTGATGTTGTTGACGTCGATGGTTGGGAGGTAGTGGAGGATGACGAGGAGGGGTTCGGATAGGGAGGGATAGATGTGCTGGTGGAGATGCGGTATTTGTATGCGTGTGGGATTGCCGCGTAGAATTGGGCTAGGAGAGCGAAGAGGATGGCAGTGGGCCCGGCGGGGAGGTAGTTTAGGGTGTTTAGGGAGAGGGGGCGGAGGAGGAGGGCGAGGAGGAGGGGTGGGAGGAGGGTTGTGTAGGGGAGCGTGGTTAGGAGAAAGCTCTGAGGTGTTAGGTGGCAAGTTAGTATGTGGATTGTACGGTTTGATGGGGGATTTTTGAAGGGACGGGTGAAGAAAGGGGTTGGGTTGACTTACTCCGAATTTCCTGGATCCCCACAGCCGTTCAATTACGCGCAGGTGATAGAGGAGCATAGCTGCGAAGAGCACTTCCGTCGAATTCGTGTAGCATAGCTAGGGAATATGTACAGTCAGCTGCTATCTTGCCTTGTGTGTCTCGAACAAAAAAGCGACATGAAATTTCCCTTCCCTGGGAATCAAAAAGAAGAATCCAAAACAAGCTTGTTTACCTGCCAAACCCCAAGTCTCCATATTTGCCAGTATGTCCATAAATGCGGCACGACCTGGATATAAAACAAGTACTTTACATCTGCTACGCTAGCAGCTATCGACGATGCAATTATGAAGATGAGCGCATACTTAGATATAGGCGCATTAGTGAAACCTGAGCTGATCATGGCTTCGATTCTGTTCAACGAAAAGACCGCCGCGGAGTGAGGACGAGAAGGCGGAATGGAAGATGGGGTGTATATTGGAGAGGCTTTAATTTATCGTTGCTGTATGTTCTGTTTAGACGACGGCTTCCTCTTCACTGTTTTGCTTTCCTTTCCGTGCGGCTGTCGTCGTTGCTGTCACGGATAGGAGGAGAGTGTGGAGGTGAGCCGTGAAGTTGTCGCCGTGGCTTCCGTTCGGTCTTATTTCCTCACAATGTGTTCAACTACAGGCCCCATATGTGTTTCCATGCAACTGACAGGCCATTTCAGAGCACAGGAGGTTGTTAGAACCCGAGAAGGGAATCTCTAACTGGCGTTTCCCATGTGGATTGTGGTTGACTGAGAACTTGGCTGCGGCGGTTGCAGTGAAGTGACGTCCAAGATGCGGCTAAAGTACACATGGCCAATTAGCGATTGGCTTCCCGAAACTCGGCATGCCGAAACATACGCACTTATTAATCGTGCCCCGCGCACCCACACCTGATGTGGGTGCACCACAGCGTAACGAGCGTAATGATAAAAATATCAACTTCTTCATTAATCAATCTTCAAATATTAATATATCACCACCACCATGATCAATAAGATAGATGATCTTGAAAAATGTATTCAGAGTGCCATTGAAGTCTATAATGGCAATTGAAAACAGAAAATCCTACCTCTGGTATGCAAATTCAACATTTCTTATCAACATCTTTGAGCCAGAATCAATGAAAGAAAAACATGCAATGCAGAGACTGCACTGAACAAGAAGCTTAGCAAGAGTCAGAAGAATGTGTTAAAAGAGTGAATAGCTCATATGGACAGAAATAATTGTCCACTGACCACAGAGCAGATTCAAGATAATGTGAATCTCATTCTCAAACATTATCATACTGATCCTTCAACCTCCCCACCTGTGGTCAGCAAGATGTGGACCTATCAATATATACAAAAAGCTTGAATGGGTATAAAAGGGTTAAGCAGAAGACAATGAATCTGAAAAGAATTGCTGTTGAGGATATTAGCTACATCAAGGTATGATTTGACTGTTTGAAAATCTTACTTCAAAAGTACATATTTCAAACCTATGATATTTACAACTTCAATGAGATTGGCTTTCAAGAGGGTCAAGGACATGGAGAATGGGTTATTACTGCTTTTAAAGACTTTAATTCAGTTATAACTTCATCATATTCTTGAGGATTGATCACTGTGATTGAGTGTATTTCAGCAGATGATAAGGTATTGAATTTCTTCATCATGAAATCCAAAACTCAACTCAAAGATTGATATACACAAAGCAACCTACCAGGTGGATATACAATCATGACATCAGATACTGGCTATACCAATGATGAGATTGGCTTTGCATGAATTTAGCACTTTAATGAGATCTCTAAAAAAATGTCAGCAAGACAGTCATCAATTGCTGCTTCTTGACAATCATGAATCTCATCTCACTGAAGAATTTCTACAATACTGTGATCTCCACAAGATTATTCTATATGAATTTCCTTCATATTCAACTTATATACTGCAATCTCTAGATTGTGTGTCTTTTCAGCAGTATAAGCACTATCATTCAAAGACAGCTAATCAAGCTGTGTGATACAGATATGAGCAGTATGAAAAACATCAATTTCTATAGAATCTAATTGATGTCTGCAAAAAGACTTTTCAATCTTCTACTATTCAGACTGACTTTGCAGATTGTGGCATTGTTCTATTCAACCTGCAATCTGTACTGCTTAAGCTAGATTCAAAGGTCTCTGACTACTCTGAGTTGCAAATATATGGAGAAGACTTCTTTTCATTGCAATCAAGCTGTTCAGATACTGCTTTATCACAGCTATTCTCACTCTAGACAATTGAGAAGCTACAACATCATATTTGAGTGACAAAGAAGACAATGCAAGATATGGAGGATATACTTGATTCCAAATTACCTCATCTGAGCGATCAATTGAACAAGATTTTCCAAGGCAGTCTTGTTCAGACAGAACTCAATGCTATAAGAGAGAGTGAGATTAAGGGTTACTACCTTGCAACCAAACACTGCAGCACTAAAAATACACACCAGCAGGTTCAAGTAGGAGGTATACTCACTGTCAGAGATGCAAATAGAAAGATTGCGCAATGTAAAGAGGAGGAAGCAGAAAAAGAACATTATAAGAGAGTTAAATATGTTGGAAGAGCTTTGAAGAAAAATGCCACAGATCCAACTCAACAAGAGGTTAATGATATATATGAACATCTCGCGAATAATACAGCTACTATGGATGATATAGATAAATTAATTATCATAGATTAGCAGCGTGGTGATGAGATATTAATTTTTGAAGTTCTAATTATCCATATTTTTATTGTTACGCTGTTTTTATCGTTACGCTGTGGCGCACCCACATCAGGTGTGGGTGCGCGGAGGCACGATTAGTTATTACAAGTCCGGAGTATTCAATCGAGTAAACATATAGCACAGAATATTTACTTCACCGCCTACTTAAGATCATGTAGACTTTGGAAATATTTTTCAAAAGTTCTATCTTACCTAGTTTTAGGTGTTTTTTTTTTTTTTGTGGTGCTGGTGCTGGTGGTGGTTTTTGCTGTGACTAGATACAATTCAGATTCCCGAAACATCACATCATAAGAAACGTAAATTCTTCATCACCCCCCACACACAGTAAATGGGATAAGAAAAGAGCACTACATGACACAATTTGCTCCAGCACAGAGCAACATCAGAGAATTGAGCCAAGGAAAGTAAATGAAAGACAGAATGGGAAGGTTAGATGAGGAACATAGTGAAGTTTCACTGTTTTTGAAGGGAGGGTGAAGCTGCATGGCATTTGACATTTTTGCCAGGGGATATTCAAGAAAAGTCAAAATGCTAAGTAAGCAGGAAGGAACAAAATTTTCAAACTTCATCATCCATCTGCTGGTAGAACTGTCTCGCAATAGCCTGAATGCTCTGGTTCATATCCGCATTCACAGGACTAGGGCTGGCTGTCCTGGCTTTCGAGCTCCCGCTGATACTGGCAGTATTATTCCCCTTTTGACGGCCCCGACCAAAAGTCTGACTCTGGGTCTGCTGAGCATGGACCTGTGATTCTCGCTGTGGCTGCTGTTGGCGCTGCTGTACCACTTTCTGTTTTGTCAAGTCGACGGATCGCTGGTTCGTGCGACGCCAACGCTCAGGGGCCAGTTCTGGGTTTTTCAAGTAGCAGTCAGTTACTACGTGACCTCGACGAAAGCAGAATTCGCACTTGGCCACTAGTTGCTGTATGACTTGTTCTTCCTTTCGACTGCTGCTGCTGCTGCTGCTGGTGGTGGTGGTGTTGTTGTTGTTGTTGTTGTTGTTGTTGTTGTTGTTGTTGTTGTTGTTGTTGTTATTCATATTAGACGATTGGGATTTCCTCTCCTTGTTTTTCTTCGAGGAGGATCTTGTGTTAACAACATTATCGTTGCTGACAGTTCTGCTGACGCTAGCGCTGGTGATGTTACCACTACCGTTCCCACTTGACGCAGATGAGGTTAACTGCGCTGTGGCGGAAGGCGGGTGTGTTCTATTATCAGTGTTCGAAATAGTAGTAATAACGACGTTCCGTTCTGGTGGTAGGCATGCAACCAGTTCATCGATCAGCGTATCGATATCCAGTATCTGCGGCATGGACTTGGGCAATTCTTCGTGTTTCAGCGCAATGTTTTCATGAATGGTATTTCGGGAACTACTTGAAACATTCTCATATAAAATATCATAAAGCAACCAGTCAGGGACGGAGAAGCCAAGCTTCTCTAGCTTCCTTCTCGCCTCCTGAAATCTCTTGATATATTCCCTATCACTAGATTTCTGGGACGGGTACAGGCTGTGAAAAATGGCGCGGCGCTCTTCCTCCAGTGGGCGCCGGAAACTGGTTTCCAGCTGGTTCCAAAGCAGATACGCGGAGTGTTTCTTTGGCTGTGTGACGGACTCCATGGCCTGAGAGCCTATCGAGTCCCATATCAAATCATAGAGCCAGTCGTTCTGCTGTTCCCAAAGGTATGTATTCGCATCGGTGAATGGGGAAACCTTTTGGCCCTCCTCGATGATGTGGACGCATTCGGTGGCCTCAGCAATGGATAGGATCGATTCCCGCCATACAGAGTAATTGCTTTTACCGTATAGGCGGTGCAAGAAGGGGACATCCTTCGTCAGGCGGAGGAATGCGATTATCTTCTTACCGACGACGGCCTCCAGGTCAGGCTCGTCGACTTCAGCGCTGCCAGTGTTTTCCTGGCAGTCTCCATTGGAGCTGTCAAGTAACTCTTCAACAACATCTCCAACCCCAGTCTCATTCGCACTTCCATTCCCATTCGCACTCCTGATCGACTTCAGCTCCTGTTTCAATTGTTCAATCTCCAGCGAGAGGCCCAGCGTTAATTTCTCGAACTCAAGCCGGTGTGCAGGACGGATTCCCATCATATCCTGATCGACCTCTCCCTTCACGTGAAAATCAGGATACGATGCGAGGCCGTCCGTATACGAAGCGGTGGGAGCGGGACCGCTAGTGACAAGATTCTCACTGTCCTTGGTGTAGTTGTGCGGCATGAAACATGGATTCTCGGCCGCGGTAAGGGGCATGTTGACAATATTCGGTTGGAAGACGGCCAGCTGTTGTGGTGAAAAGGCCTCTGCGGATGCGTTCAGCGCAGACGTACGTTCCGATGTGTTTCTGGACGAACTCCTGCTGGGCATTATTTGGGGTTTTGCTTCGCTGTCTCCGCTTTCCATCTCGTCGCGTGGCTGGGATTCAGTCAATATGTAGTAGAAAGTATATGAGACAACAGGTAGAATAATACCTATAGAGTCCAGTTCACCCTGAAGAAATGGCTAAACAAGCGGATGGATGGATAGGCAGGACAGATATCGACTCGGTGCGGAGAGGAAGGTTATCTCGCAAAATCAATCGCAACTTTTTCTCACTCGACCAAGTAAATAACCTTAAAATAAGTCAGTCCACTTTAGAAAAAAGATATTTATGCTTTTGACGCAGGACACACACAGAAGCCCAACTCCCAAGCTAGTACAGCAAGGAAAATACAATGAAGAGTCCGAGGGAGAGAAGAGAGGACACCAGATGCAGACTGCGACTTTAACCAAACAAAGCTCCCAAATAAGGTTCCCGTTCTCTTTTTTTCGTTGCCTTCTATTTCATTTCATGCATTAGACATGGAAACGAAACTGGCTGATTGAGTGTTGCCTTGTGAGTTTCCCACGCCCATCTATTCACAGAGGACGAAAAGAGGGTCCCAGAACGCAACTTGGTTAATACTTTCCTTTCTTTTTCTATGTGTCGTCTGATCCTCGCTGAGTCTCTCGCTACTTGGCAGCTTGGTTAGATTTAAGCTGGCTGGTTCCAAGGCCTGGAGGTTGGAAAGTTTCCTAAGACTACAGCAAAGATAGGGTTAAGCCCTAAGTTAACAGCAGAGCAGTTGGATGACGCTGCGGGGGAGCGGAGCCTAATACGTCGGGGCGTTCCGTCGGGTTAGAGAGGAAGTAAAAGATGAGGAGCAGATATGAGAAGACGGCTAAATATCTCTTCCACTTAATATATGGTTTTTTTTTAGCCACTTCAATCCATTTCAATACTGCGTTCGTTCACTAGAACTACATGCAAGAATATGAAAGGGAGCTTCAAGATAATAATAATGATGATGATAGTTAATAAAAAAAAAATAAATAAATAAATAAAAAAATAAAAAAAAAAGCAAAGCACGCTCCGCAGCTTGGCAGCGGGGTCGACGCAATGCCCCCACAGCAACATTTGATGTAGTCGACAGGGGGACATTTGTTGTAATGGCTACAGCTGCGGGGGATGTGAGAAACTAGGAGTCCGGGAGCAGATGACGCGCAAGTATTTCTAACCCTTTACCGCGCTCACTTTAGAAAACGAGAAAAAATATGGTTATCAGCCACGGCTTCCGATGATAGCAAAAACAATCCCCCCAAAAAATTCAAAAATTCAAAATTCAAAATTCAAAAAAAAAAAAAAAAAATAAGAAGAAAATACTATTTCATGGGCAAATCACCCATCCTATCCTGTCCCTGAACCTGCTGCGCCAACGCCTTCCTGTACTCCTCCAACGCCTTCTCCAACGCCTTCAGAGTCGGCTCCATAAGCGCATTAACCGTCTTCTCCCCTCCCTCCACCCGCTTCAAGTTTGGCCGGATATTCTTCCCCGTCGACACCCTGACCTCCCTAGCATGTTGCTTCAACCTCTCAATCTCCGCCTGGCGCTCCTTCTCCGCCTCATCGGCCACAGCTTTGATACGGTCCATGGCACGATTTAACGATTCAACTAGCGACGCGATTTCACCTGCCCGCTCCGGATTCCCCGATAAAAAGGCCTGCCAGAATTGATGGAGGAATTCGGTTGTGGTGGCGTGCGTGAGGGTTAGGCGGTCGAAGATTGAAGAGGGGAGGCCGCAGGTTTCGGGAGAGGTGGCGGAGGCGGGGGAGAATTGGGATTTGCGGTCGCGGATCGCGGCAAAGATTTCAGAGGAGGCGGCGGCAAGTGCAGATTTGGAGCCAACTTTCTCAACTTGGGCCTTTGTATTTTTTTGGTTGCGGGCATTATTATTATTATTATTATTATCATCATCATCATCATCATCATCATCATCCTCGTCGCTGTCGGTTTCTTCGGGCTCGACGATACGGTCAAGTTGGACCCCTCCGCGCTTATTGGGTGGGAAGACGGCGTCAAGGTCATCTTGTAGCCTCCGTAAAATTTCGCGAGGATCTTGTTGGGCAACGGTTTGTGTATCTCCATCCTCCTTTGGATTGGTCCCAACGAAGAAACGGCTCTGGTCGCGCACATTTAGTGTTATCCGTTTTAGCTCCTCTTCCACGCGCAAATCACGCAACTGTAATTCGTTATACGTCTCTTCGTTCATTCCAATCGGGGCAGACGGGTCAGCATCGATTGGCGTGACATTCGCCATGATCTTCTCACTTAGCGAGTTCAACGTCCGAATAATTGGCACATTATCCATGGCGGCAGGCCTCATATCGAAATTCGGCCTATTCCCCATCCTCTGACTAACATCCACCTCATTCCCCTCAAGATCGATCATATGCGGCACATGCGCTGTCCACGAGTGCCCCGCATACTCATCGACCTTGAGATACTTATCTAAAATGGGATCACTCGCATCTGCATCCGTCACCCGCTCTCCACGTAGCTTCTTGAATAACTTGCTTTGAAAAAACCGTGACCAAAACTGCTGCTCGGTCAGCTTGGGGACGTTCTCATCGTACACCTTCTTCACCAACGGATGCTGGCTAAATATCAACTGGATCTGCTCCTTGCTGATATTCAGCTTGGTCACATTGTCCTCCACCCGCGGCTTCAGCGTTGAGAGCACATTGTATGACCCGCGCGTCTGCGCCTTCTCAATCGCATGAGCCCGTAGCAGATGCACCCTTGTTGACCAAAACTGCGACACGAACTGCGCGCTAGTGACCGCCTCGGCCTTAGTGCGAAGCGTCTCCATAAACACCTTCTGCAGTGCCGGATTCGCTTTTAGGAGTGACTGCTGTAGCTCTGCGTCCGCTATTAACCGGCTATCATCGTCCCACGGCGGTTTCCCCGACGCTGATGCCATCGCGGCTGGAGCGCCCTCTTTCGTAGGAACCTGTCCCGTCTTCACAGCTTGTATTGAAGCGCTAAGCGCATCTTTGATCGCATCTGCTTCAGCACGGGCGTTAGGTCCGGACACGAAGGAGAAGATATATTGTTCCGTGGCTCCTGGGGGAGGATTGTTGGGGCCGCCATTGGAGCCATCGTTGGAGGTTTGCGCGAAGATCTTAAGCATAACTTTGGGGCTTGCTGCCGGGGTTTGTTGTAGGTCTAGTGCGATCCAATTAAGCGATTCAACATCGGCACTTCACAAACATCCCCAGAAAGAATGGAAGAACATACGTGTAATATCCGCAACCTGAATCGTTACCGGTGATGCCCCGGAACCAGCCACCTCGGGGGTCCAAGTGATCGACTTCCCATCCGTCGCCATCGCCAATGAGCCATCTTTCTTCTTATATGTCACTACCTGGACCGGTGCCGCCATTGTTGCCATTCCGTCTGTGTTTCCACTCTTCTTCCGGAATTGGAATTCGTAATTCGTAGGCTAATCGTAGATATAAGGTGGGGGCCGAGAGTAAGATATGGTCAGGTTTATATGCTGAATGTTCCTCAGGTCACCTCAAACCAAACACTCGAAAGTCAGGAGCGGGATGACTTTCTAGGTATATATTGAAAAAAAAAAAAAGAAAGAAAGAAAAAAAAAAAAAGAGGAAGAAAGAAAGAAAGAAAGATCCTGCGCAGCGTTTCCAGTCATTAACCCTTGTCTCCCCTTTCCTTCATATATCGGCCCATGAAAATCATAAGTAAAGTCGGTGTCGCATTGTTCGACGAGAAAAGCTTCCAACTAAGTAAAGTAACTAAGTCGTGGCAGGGTAGTGATATTAGGAGGCGGGACAAAACTCCAGAGTTGTATGAAGGAGGGAAAAGAGCTTTGGTCAACTGTGCTAAAATGTATATTGGGTATATCCTTTGAATGGTTTTAATTGCCAACCCCCCACCCTCCGTCAGTCCTGCAATTCAACAGTCCTCCAAGGTCCAACACACGCTCCAGCCGTTTTCCTTCTCTCAGTCCGCTCAGATCCGTCCACGCGCACATTCCAGCAAACTAAGAGTAATTTCTATATCAACCCTCCCGGTTACTTATGCGCCTCGTTGATTTCCTTTGCAGTTGTGTAGCTTCGCGCTGGGGCGTTACGAGAAACGGTCAAAATCTTTCTCCTCCTCTTCCGTTCCCTGCTTGGACGTTAGGAGTAGGCGTGATTGGAAAAGATATTTTCGGGGCGGGTTCAACGGATGCTGATCTAATCCCCGAACGACATAAAAAAAATTTGCTAAACAGATGATAGAAGTGTGGAAGCAAATATGTTGTTATTTTTTCGTATGTTGCGGTATTTCCAATCACCGATGTTGAAGAAGCTCAACTTCAGAAGGGGGTTCGGGGGTGCAATGAAATATCACGTGTCAGATTGGGTCCCAATTTCGCCCTTGGGATAAGATGGAACCTTTGGGGCTAGTCCAACCCCGTCCATCAAGTTGCCCCATCTGAGTCACGGTCACGAGACCCCTGCCAGGCAGTTAGTGATGTTCATTACTTTCCCTTGCATTTATACGAGAAGGCTGCAGAGATTGTCTCTGTAGAAGGTTCACGAGAACGACGCAGCTGACGATACCTAGGCAGGTAGGGCGGTCATCATCACATTCTGTAAGGAATAGGAGGTTAGCTCTATAGATAGTTAACTATCTGACCTGCTGTTCAGGTGGTCAGCAGTTCATTCTCAATGTATTTGAGTGACTGGGATACACATACAATTCTCTATACAATCACTTGTACCCTCAATTCTTAGTTGTAGGCATAACACTCATCTGCTTTCTTAACTAGTCAAGCCCACCAATTCAGCTTCTCTATAAAAAATCCTGTATGACGTCATGTTGAATCCCGTCTCAGCACCGCCTCATTACAATTTGTGTAAATTCTTCATCTCCCAATTCAATGTGAGTTATCTTCAACCACCTTTTTAAAATAAACTCTCAGTGTGAAATATCTATTTTCAAAGCTATTGAAGAATTGAAAAAAACTCTATTTTCTTCTTTTAAGCTATCTACAAGTTACAAGCTTTTGAAAATCACTTTGTATAACTGATTAGCTGACAGAAATTAACTGCAATTAGCTTATCAGCAAATATAAAGATTAATCTCTAAACAAAAGAATTCTAAATATAGATATTAAAGCTTATCTTTTTTTTTTCATTTATATTTATAAAAAAAAACTTTTAAATTTTAAAGATTAACAAGAATACTATTTTTTTATATATTGTTAAAATTCTTAAAGTATAATTTTAATATTTCTTTTTGATATTAAAAATTTATAAAATTTAATTAAAGTTTATTTAATTATTTAATAATTTATTAATAAAATATAAATTTAATATAATATATAGTTAAAACTACAAAATATAAATAATTATAAAATAATTAATAAAAATATTAAAATATTAAAATATTAGTTAAATTTAAAAAAATTTAATTTTTATAAATTTTTTATTAATTTTTAAAAATAAATATATATTAAGTTTAAAAATAATTAAAAACTTTATATATTATTTTTAAATAATTATAAAAATTATAAAAATAAATATATATAGTTTTTTATTAATAAATTTCTTTGATATACTGTAATTATTAAATTTTTATATATTTTTATTTATAAAAATATATTATTAACTTTTATAAAAATATTAAACTATTTAAATAATTTTAATTTTGATAAAAAATTTTATATTTATTTAAATTTATTTTAATATATATTAATAAAAAATTATTAAATAAAATAAATAAATAAATAAAAATAAATAAATAAATATTTTAAAATAAAAAATTTACTTATTTTTAAAATTTTTTATTATATATATATATATATATAAATATATATATAACTTTATAATAGTTAAAATTTAATAAAAGATTAAATCAAAGTTAAAAATCTTTTTTTTATAATTAATTAATAAAAATTTAATTTATAAATTTTCTAGTTATACAAAGATTTTTTATAGTTTAAAAACTAAAAAGAGATTTTGGTCTGATTTTAATAAAAAATTTGCTAATATTGAAACTATTAATCAGACTTTTTGATAGAAAAAAACCTACTTTGAAGGTTAAAAATCAGACTAAGAAGTTAGAAATTTAAGTCGGATATACTGCTGCAGTATTAGAACTAGACCTAGAAACATGTATATTAAAATGACAGACTTGGTAGAATTCATGAAATTATTAAGCTTTTTAAGAAAGGGGTCGAATTCTAAAGAGGAGAGTGGTAACAAGCCTAGATTCCATCTTATAACACAGAGTATAAAACATTCCTTTAAAAAGGTAAGATGAAAAGAGGTAAAATTCTCAGCTATCCAGGCGCACACATGTTCATATAATACTTGTTAGTTTACATATGAATTCAAGACTCGACACTCAATCAATCAGATGCAAATTCAGAAAACTCAAAAGAACTTATCAAGGGGAAGACACAGCCTTAGTCTCCTCTTTGTTTTCTGCTTTCTGCTTCTGCTTTCTGCTTCTGCTTTCTGCTTTCTGCTTTAGTAATTTTCCCTTTTCCTAGACAAACCGTAGACTCCCCATATGCAAACCAGAGCAGGGATAGTATGACAGCAAATACCACATTTTGAATATTAAAAATGGAGGAATTAAAGCCCAACACCAACAAAGAAATATATGAGATATGGCTAAACTACCAAAATAATGCAACGCTCAATGCCCAACGCCCAATGCTCAATGCTCAATGCTTTAACGCTCAAGCAAAAGGGTGCGCCACCAACGCTCAAGCGACGAATATCAGTCAGGATAGGTATATGATGTAATCAAAACAAGACCTCCAAAACGAAGCAGAAACAGGACAAGAGAGGTATTTTCCCCGGCTTAACACCGCAACTTTTCAAATCGAAGCAGAAAGGAATAAGAGGAGAGGACCGCTGGCTTAAAAAAGAAAAGAAGGAAGGAAAAGAAGCAGTCAAATCAGTCACAGGATATACAAGTCAGAAAACAATCATAAGAATAAGCAATCTCCCCAAACATCTCCCTCACTTCTTGAACATATAATGCCCATACAACCCCCCAACGTCCCCAACCGCAACCGGCACCTTCCTCATCCCCCACCACCTAGCCCCCATCTTCCACGACCTCCTCCCATCATCCGCATGCACCTTACCGGCCCTCCCATCCGACTTCCCATTTGCGCCCGCCATCGGCTCGCGCACATACCACCCCCGCCGCCCCAGATCCCGCACCAACCAGCCGTTCCCATACTTGCTGGCGCGGCTCCGCTGGCGCAGCGGGGAGATGATTTTCTCGCTGAGCTCGATGACGTCGAGTGGGGAGCTGTGCGGGGTGACGAGGAGGCAGGCTTTCGGGTTGAAGAGGGCTGCTTGGTTTATGTGGGGGTTCTTTGTGAGGTCTAGATAGCGGAGTTGGGAGGGGATCCATTGGCGGTGGATACGGGAAGTAGAGGTTTTTTCTGACTGGGTGGTTGTGCTGTTGCGGGAGTGGTGGTCTTGCTCGTTATTAGGCGATGGAGGCGGGGCGAAGAACAAGTTGATATCGCTGACGGTCAAGTTTGCGGAATTGAGACCTAGTTCCTCGACATATTTGGACAGCTCGACTAGGGCTGACATATTGCTTGATCTCACTTTGGCGCCTCCTAGGTTTACAGAGCGCAGGGATGGAATGAGAGTGAGGCTGGGTAGGAGCGCGTCGACATCCGCCTCGTCCAGGAGTTGGTGCCTAGCTGTATCAGTCATGACATTCAGGTAGATGAGCGAACCCATCACAGCTGGGTGGGTGGTTAGGAGTTCCACCACCTCCGGACCCGTGAGCTTGGTGCAGCGCGAAATATTCAGGTGGGTAATGCGGGCACTATGTGGGATGGACATCAGTGCGGAGTTCGTGATTTGAGTGTGACAGACGTCGAGATGGGTCAAGTTGACTAGACGTGGAAGGAGAGCCTCAAAGACGCGGGGGCTAAGGCCGCTGCATTCGTGCAGAGATACCCGACGGAGCATGGGAAGGGTTTCGGGAAAGTTTGGGTCTTCGGTCACGGCGCTCAGAAACCCGTCTGAGAAGGTGGAAGAAGAACAGCCGCAGAAATCAACAGCGCGGAGAGAAGGGGTTCTCGAGAGCAATTTCCGAATGACGTCCCCATTCACATCATCTTCCAGATGCTCTTGCAGCAGACACTCCTTCAGGTTCTTCAGAAGCTCCAGGCATTCAAGGAGGGTCTTGGATGTGAGGTTTTGAATCTCCGTATTCATCTGCTGTGTGCGTCCCAACCCAACAGAAGTAAAGTGGGAAAAGTCCAGCCGCCGGACAATGGTGCCCAGAGCGGGATATTGTCGGATGTGGTCAAGGGCCTTTGAGAAGATGACCGAGTGTGGGATGGTGATATTTCGATAGAGAACACTCAGCGTGGCGGAATGGAGCGTTCGAGACGTCAGCAGACAGGAAATGAGATCAACATTCCGTGGCGTGTAGCCATTGGGGGGGATATCAAGAGCTAGATACGAGATGATTTGATCTGGAACAATCAGTAGTTACTATATGCCGTTCTCACAGGAATACCCGCATGAGGTCCTCAGAAAGGATAAAGTTCCAGAGAGAGAGAGAGAGTTTTACCTAGTATCTCAGAAGGGAGCAATTCGATAGGAGCATTCCCCTTCTTTAAAGTAGATTTCTTAGGCTCCTCCAGAACAGTGCAGATGCGATTGTTGATATCCTTGTCCTCCCACGCAAAACCCCTCGACTTCGCATTCCCCAGTAAGCGCAGGTCACTGTAGCTCCTGCTCAGCCTCCGCCCACCCAAGGGGATCTGCTTCCATCCCAGAAAGGCACCACATGGACAGCAGAATTCGAGGTGATCCGGGGGGGGGGCAAGAGTTCGAGACTGGACAGCCGTGTTGCTGGGATTTGGTAAGTGTTCGCTGGGGGTAATTTCCTCGGTATCTACAAAAGATTGGGCGATTTCTGGAGGGTTATATGGTTAGATATATCTCCATAAATAAAGGCGTGGCGGAAGAAGAGAGGTAAATAGCAAGTACCGGTGGAATCCTCTTTGATGGAGCCGAAGGAAGGGCGGCGGGAGCTGCCTGATTCAGTGGAAGGGGAAGGGGAGTTTTCGCGCGAGCGATTCTGGGGTTTGCTGGTCTGCTGGAAATAGTCCTGCCGCTGGTGCTGATGGTTGCCAGGGCAATTGGAGATTGGGGCGGCCCGGGAGCTCATGTCTCGTTGACAAGATCTAGCGGCGGTAGACGTTCTTTATGTCAGGATATTATTTATTGCCTTGTGGGAACCACCGATATGGGAGTGAGATAGGTCTGTAACCGGGAGAAAAGGGAGAGGGGAAGGAGGAGGAAAGATGAGAAAAGATGAGAAAAGATGAGAAAAGATGAGAAAAGATGAGATGAGATGAAGAAAAGATGGGATGAGATGAAATGAGATGAGCAGAGAAGCACCTGATGGCGCAAAGATGGGAGAAGTAGCAGAAACAGTCACAGCAGCTTTCGGATGATTGTGGGGGAGGAAAACATATATTATATGGGCAACACATACCGGTTAGGGTTTAGATCGTTGGAGACCTCCTCTTGGGGAAGTAAGTTATGGCACCAATACGGTAACAGTATGGTAACAGTACGGTAACAGTACGGTAAACTCGGGCTTGTTTTCCAATGGCGGGCGAGTTGTGGTGCAGAAGGGCCGTCACGGAGACTCTTCTCGTACCCGGGTAAGTAATGATTTTACAGGCAGGTGATATATAAGTATGGAACGCAGGTGAAATGCAGGCGTAAAGAAAGCTCGCTAGAGTGCGCTTGGTCAGTGGGAGGAGTTGCTGTTAGTCACAAATTCCCCTCAGCGGAACGGGGGGAACAAGGGGCGGAAGTACGCGGTCCCAAGAGGTGTTTTTGGATGGTAAAAGGTCTGGGTAGAGGCCTGGTATTGGCTGGAGATTGGCTGGCGGCTTCGAAGGGGGCTTGGCTGCAAATCAACGTGATGCGAATGCGAGTTGGGGGGAAGAAAGAGGAGAGGCGGCCATCGCTTGTCCAGGGAGAGATTATTTATTAGGTGTTGAACAAAGGCATGGCAGAGATAGGAATACGAATGGGGATTGAAATGAAAGGGGATGTGACAACAAGAAAACTAAGAATAAAGATCAGTGGACGAGAATGATCAGGATTAATTATGTTGTGAGGAGATATTAATAATTACGGTGATTGGACGGAGAAAGGTAAAAAGCAGGAGAAAGGTGAAAGGAAGGCAAAAAAAAAAAAAAAAAAAAAGGACGGGTGCAAAATTTAGTAACTAATAACTTAGATCCACAACTCTATTTTTATTAGTCGTCTTCTTTGAACCAGAGCAGCTAGGCTTCTAAACGATCCAAAATTTTGAACCCCGTCCGTCAGTCCTCTTCCACTTCGATCCTCTTTCCAGAATCTTTTACAAATAACTACAAATTGTGTATGGATTGGATTGCATCTGGCTTCCACAGTTACAAGTCTCCCCTCGGTTCCCTCCTCTCTTCCCTCCCCTGGCGCATGACTTCTTGCCATGCTGACTGACCGCACCAAACCATCCATTCCATCGCGCCGGACAATTTGATATCTACCAAGCTCAAGCGGCGACTTGGGGTAAACAAAATAAAGAGCCCAGTCGAGGCTTGGCTGCTTGGCGTGCAGCTCGTCCTTTCTCAAGTTCTGCGGGGGCGGCGGCGGCGGCATCGGCAGCGGAAGCTTTGGTTGAAAGGGCAACATACGGTGAACGCAGCGTCCAACGGCACAATGTTAAGACTCCCTACGAATAGCTGTTATGTGGGGATATTGGACCGTGCTGTAACGTAGGATGCACCAAGCTCGCTGCCGGTAGTTAACAAGAGCAGCAGCCCCTGCAACCGGGAGGCTCCTTTTGTTTTTTTTTTTTATTTTTTTTATTTTTTTTTTGGCAACTCTGGCGGTGAGGGCCAGCCCCATCAGGTAACTCTGGGTCCCGTGGTTTAGAACTACAGCGCTGTGATACAAGAACTGTGAAATGGTTGAGACAACTGGGCAGAAATCGCAAGGGGGGGGCTTTTCTTCTACCCTGCATTCTATGACATAATGGAAATACCAAAAAATTACGTAAACTAGTTAGTTACGGCGCGATGATGACAGGGTTGAGGAATTTTGATGCAACATAAATAAAAATCAACGAATTAACAGGAGGGCCGGGGGGGCAAACAATGAGCAGCAGGTCCATTCTCATCATCTACGATACCTTGGCTTTTTTTTTTTTTTTTTTTTTGACGCTGGAGGCAAAGCAGCCAAAAACAAGCCAGTGAGGAAGCAAGTAACCTACATATGTCTGTCTGTCTCCGTTCTACTCTACTCCCAGGTGTTCCGTCCCATGACTTTTTCCATCGGGCACTAACCATGGAATATATAATAATCCCCAATAAATGAACCTCCAGTTATAGCCAACACGGCAACATCCCCATGGATGGATACACCCTCACTCCAACAGCCATGCAGGCCAGGATCAACACACACACACACACACATGCCCATTTCCCGCCGAATTCCCCGCGTCCCATTGGTGATTGGACTGTCCTTGTTTCAACCCAATGACGGTCTTTACAACCCCGGACAGAAAAAGAGCAACTGATTGTCCAATGGGGGTTAGAGGAAAAGGTCATGCAGGGTGGGGCAAGTCGACGAGGTTGCGGGGCGGGGACCTTGGTTTTGAGGATGATAATAGATTTCAAAGGGGGGAAGAGTTACAACCCTCAAACCAACCAAGTGATTTTGGTGTGGACCCATCCACTAGCTAAATCAGCCAATGATCATGCCGATTCTTAAATTACTAAGTGAGCGGTGATGTCTACTTCCCTAGTACCCGGGTCTGGAAAACCATGGAATGTTGGTGCAAGGTTCAAGTCAGTTACAGCCCGAGAGTGCCAAAGAGCGAGGTAAAATGAGCTTCTCAGACGGAGGTATAATAACCCAGTGAAAGAATTATCGAGTCGTAAATGAATGGGCTAGGCCAAAAATAGGCTAGCGTGGGGAAGGATGGGACTAAGTGGACTCCCAAGAGGGACTAGCGTGGGAAGGAAAGCGCGCTTCTTGGCGCTCTCACATTCCCAAGTCTGATGATCAACATATGATAAGGAGCAATATATATAGAAAGTAACGGCCTCAGCACTTCCGTATAAAGCACGAATTCGTTAGAAGGAGGAAGAAAAGAACATGAAAGGAAGCATAATTCGGTGAAGAGTTTTTGTTACGAAAGGTTATCACCCGGCGTTAGCCTAACTGTCAACTAGTTACAACATCATCCCCCCTCTTCTGGCGGTTCGTTCGGCGGAATCATTCACTAATGATTGGTGATTCCTGCGAATCAAGCGCGGCCGTTGTCTTCCAAGGGTGAAGGCTGGTTCCCACGTTGAGCGGTCATATCCTACCCATTGGACTAGATATTCTCAGCAGCGCCCACATGTGTGATGGTGTATCGTGTGTTTCATCTCTCATTACGTTACAGCTCATTATTCTTTTTGATGATGCCAGGCCAGTGGAGAATCTTCTGTGAGAGGAACAGATCTTCAGCAGCTGAATCAGAGCGGATTTCATATGAAGAAACATTATAAATTGCAGAAGTTATATCTAGTTGATAGTTATCACTTCGATACCTGTGTTCTTGACTGATGGTAGTCAAGTGTTCAGGAAGGCCAGTCTGTTCATTTTGAAGATCTAATCAAACCTCATCTTCAAATTCATATTGCTGAACTTCTATGTGTTTTCATTTGATTTTATAATTTTATTGAGCACTAGTCATAATCACTTCGGCTCATTTATAGATTTTTAAAAAACTGTTTATAATATTCTCTGCTGATTATATTGAGTTATGAGTATGATTAAACTTCTTTAAATATTTTATTGATAAAATTAAAAGTCTTTTGAATTAAATTTATAAAGCAGAAAATAAGCTTATTTTTATTACAATAGATATATAGTCATTGTTAGCTCAGCGCCCGATTGAGCCGCGCCCGGCGCCCGATTAGACTCGGCGCCCGATTAGGCCTAACCTCATCATGTGACCATGCAGGTTTGTTATAATCTGGCAGACCATAGCATCTTCTTTCATCCCATCAAGCTTAGTATTCTGTTATATAGCAGTTAGCAACGAAGAAAGTTTCTTCTTATGCAGCTCGCATTCACTCTCTAACATAATACTAAGCTTCATTCTACTCTTTTACTCAGAATTGAGTAGAAATTTGCTTAGCATGAATCAGATAGCACATTGAGTCTGAACACAGTTAGCTCAAAACAATAACTCATTTCTCTTAGTCATCAGAAAGACTGATCAGAATGATCATCTCAGACTTCCAGCTCTCTGAAAAGATCAAAAAGAACTGATGATATGTTCAAACAAAATCAACTGATTAATCACAGATCTTATTTGAAGAATTTAAACAAATAATTCACTTAAACAAGAATTATGTCTATAATAAGTTAGCAGCAATCTTTGATAGCATCTTTGATAATGAAAAAGCACTAAGAGACATAGGTGTTAGGGTGTGAATGCGAGCTGCATAAGGAAACTCTCTGCGTTGCTAACTGCTATATAACAGAATACTAAGCTTGATGGGATGAAAGGGGGTTTGCCTGGATCGCATGGTCGCATGGTCACATGATAAGGATTAGGCCTAATCGGGCGCCGAGCTTAATCCGACGTAACGGGCCTCGGTCGGCTCGGTCGGGCGCTTGAGCCTAACAATAGCCACATGTCTATAAATGAAATGAAATGATGCTGCAACTCAGACAGCTATCAAACAAAGTTAAATTAATGAGCTCATTGCAGAATATGAAGAGTTTAGTTATATTTTAATTTATATAATAGTCAGCAATCAAATAGCAAGTTAAGATTTTATCTTCTTTGAAATCACAAGAAAATCTGTCAAAATTGATGATCTGAAACATCTCACTGATGATAAAAAGTTAAAGTTTGAGTACTGACTTTTCTGTATAAAAAACAAACTTTAGAAAAATATTGATTATTATCTCACTAAATACATGAAAATTGCATATATCAAAAATTAGATTGATGAAAATGCAATATATCATATTGCATTTTATATGAAGAAAAATCATTTTGAATAATATCAAACTATAAAAAAAATATATGAACATTTTAAGTTAATCTATAAAATATTAATAACTTATAAAATATTAAAAATAACTATTATAAACTGATTA